CGCCCGCGCGTGGATGGCGGTTCGCGCGGCGTTCACCGAAGTCCATTTTCGTGCAGTGAACGCGTGGAGTGGCGAATATCCGATATGTAATTGGGATTTGATTCGCGTACGAGCGCCCCGCGGCGCGGCCCATCGAAGCGACACGATCGGAACTTGATAACTATCTCACCGGCAATTAATAAAGTCGCGAGTGCACACTCGCGCTCGTTGACTCGCGCGAGCGAATTAACGCGATGAATTATGTAACAACTTATGAAATGTGAAAAGTATATACCGTTCTCCCTCCCGCGAATTATAGTTATATTAAAAATGAGCAAGATACACTTGTGCGCTCCGCCGAGCAGGTATATGACAGATGATATCGCGTAATTATAACATGATGTCGAGATAACGTAATTAGATTGCAAAGTCCCTCCGTTTTAAACGCGTATAAATTATCGATTTAATAATGTGAAACGAGAATAAACGTGAGTCTGCAATTTCGGAGTAAAGGGATTAACGTCCCTATATCCTCCCTTGTACAAAATTCAAAGAATGTTTCTATATCGATTCACAGTCGTTAAACCAATGAATTGATCATTGGCCCATTTTCTCACTTCATAATTTAATCCTAAATAAATCGAATTATTATTTTATATTCTTAATAATTTTTCATTAAATCATTTGCACAAATTAGTCCAATCCCAGGGTAAAATACTTAAATGTATTGACCCAAAAACGGACTTAAAAATTAAATAAACCTATCAGTTCGTAACACATATTACATTAAAATCTGATCCCGGAATTCTATTTGATTCTATGATTTAATCATGCGTATAACTTAAAGATTACGTTTCGCTGGAAAATATATAGAGCAACGCTGCGCAGTTAACGCCAAAATATTATTAGAACCGGAGTAATTTCGTAAGAGTGCTATAATGTACGTAGTTGGAAATAATTAGCTGCAGTACGATCTGTTTTAAAAACGTTATGAGAATAATTAAAAAAGTTCTTTCATTAGCACGAGCTTACATAAGCTCTCCTTGTAATAAAAAAAAAAAGAAGAGAGCTTCGCCTATTCCTTTTTTAAATACTCATTCCATGCGCTTTCAAAATCTAGCTGAACTAACTAAAGCAAGCAGAAAAATCCGAGACCGATCATTCATTTTTACTTCTCGCGTAAGTATAACGCTAAGTAATTGTTCGGTGTCGTAATTCAAAATTTTGAAACTTTACGATGTTCAATTAGCATTTAGAAGGCTTTCCGATGATTATTATACGAACACTCGCAATCCTCTGTATTTTTTTATATTTATCTTCCGTATCTTTCTGCATTTTTTTTTTGCAATTAAAATAAATTAAAATTTTACATGATCGACGTTTACGTTTAACTCGACTGTAATATTTACACTATTAAAACTGTCATGAAATTTAATGTACTTTTAAGTTACACAAGTACATTAATGTATCTGTAACTAAAAAGTATATTTGTGAATATGGGCATAAAATTTAGTGTAAACTTTATGGAAAAGTATAGGTATTCATGTGGCTGTGCATGAAATTGAATGCACATGAACATTAGATTTAAGTTAGTTGTAATTTCATTTTCATTAACAACATAAAATTCATCAACAACATAAAATATTTTTAATGTACCTGCTTGAAATTTGCTTCCGTGCATGTACATAAAATTTAATGTATTTTTTAAAACAGTGTATGGCTTCTGGCACGGGAATAGCGCTTTTTATCCACTATGCGACTAGAAAATAACGCGTGTGTAAACGAACTCGCGTGTGCGCGCACGCGCGCAGCATCGTTTGCCGAGGGTTATCTGAAACACGATCTGATTTACATCGTTCCGGGGGTAGTTCGATGACGCTAACTCGACGAAGGCGAGCTGGACAAACGAAGCCGTACGCGAGCGCTTAAAAAGGGGAAAAAAAGGGTATAGCGCTGATACGCGTTACGCAATTGTGCGCGCTCTGCGCGGCGATCGATCACGGAAGACAAAATAATCGGATAGTCGGTATTATCGGCGTTGCATTAACACCAGGAACGGCCGATCCCGGCGAATTGCCGAGTAAGCTTCTTTTAATCAATTACAAGCCATACAATTTGTGAACGTCGATCAATAGCAGACGCAAATCGTGAGAGCGGATTAACGTTTTATCGTTGCTTAGTTCTCTGCTCAGAGTTCTCTCTCCCTTCCTTTCCCGCGCAAGGAATCCTTCTATCACTGAGAGAAAAGTTTAGTATGAACAACCAAAATTTTGTTACTGATACCAAAACTATGTGTTGATATGTGACCAACTAAACTAACACGTCGATATTAATTCGTTGAATTTATTGAATAAAATTACCAAAATAATTACATTATTTTGTTGAACTTACTAAAAGAAAACTTATTTTGTAATTGCAACCCAATTTTATATTACTGTGTACAAAATGTGAGTAACCAAATAAAATTGTGTTGTTAAATCAAAAATTACCAAATTTTGGTTATTTAATTATATATTTTGCTATTTTAAAATTTTAGAATAAAACTTGACTTTTGTGAATAATTCTCTGTTTTTGTTACCATTAGTATATCTTTTCTCTCAGTGTAGAGGGACGTTAAAAGACACCGTTTATTTACTTGTCTGCATGCAAATCTAATAAAAATTTTACTAGTACAGATAATAATTTACTGCATTACTGCCTTTTCTTCGTCATAAAAAAAAAGTAGGAATCCTTCTAGATGGACACTGAAAGGCACACGGAAAGAACGATTTTGCTCTAAAAATTTTGTTAGATACATGATCTGAAAATAATTCTTGTTGAGTCATCAAAATAATTTTATTGAAAAGTCAAAAATGATAAGCATTTTTAACTTTCCAACAAAATTATTTTGATATTCTAGCAATCAGCTTGACTTTCCAACGAAATTATTTCGATTGTATAACAAAAATTTTTTTCAGATCTGAATCCACCAAAATCATTCTTTACGCGCACGTTTTTTTTAATTATCAACATAAAATAATACAAATGGCAAAGTTTAATAGTACAAAAGTTACATTGTGACGTTGACAATATTTTAATTAGAAGCGTGATGCTATTATAATTTTCCCTATCTCGCGCGTCTTACGAATTTTACGGGCTAACGTAATGCAAATGGCATCGGATCCGATCGCGTTGGATATCACGTTTCTACAATTTGCTCGGGCAATCCAGACGGAGATTACCATGCGGAGTGTTTCCACCCGCAAGTATAGCCCATCTCGTCAGAGTAAGTCCCGGGGTCTGGTCTTAAGCAAATGAAGTTATACTCGCGGATGCAGCTGCGCGCCGTTTCAAAGGACCTATCTGAAACGCGATTTAATTTAAACCACGTTGTACGAACGAACGAAGGTAGTCGTGCGATTTCAACTCGTTTTTGCCGGTGGAATCGCGATTCGGGAGGAGGGAGCGGGGAGGAGGATTCCGAGAAACTTTCGTTTCCACGGACGACTCGCTTTCCTCCCCGCCGCGCGGAAAAGCGAAACTCATTACGCGGTTATAGAACTTCATTCGACCTGCCAAAGCCGAGACACACGGCGGTAAATTGACGGAATCGCGGCACCGTAAATCTGTTTCGTTCGCTGCAACAATCGCGCGAGAATTTCGCGATTCATTCTCGAGTCGCGATCTTCGCTCCAGAAGACTAATCATTTCCATTCTCACGATGACATGCATCTCCCGATTCACGCGGATTTATAAGTCGAAAAGCGGGAATTAAGTCTCGGTTTCGCCCGCTTCTCGAGCGATCGAACTTCGCGATTCGTATTTCATCATCCGGGCGCGCTCGAAACTCGCGCGAGATAATCTCCTCCCCGCAAGTTTCCTATCTGCAAAACTTTTTAACTGCAGGTCTGCATGCTGCCTGCGCGCGTGTTATCCGCACGGCAAGCGGATAGACGCGTCATTAACGAGCCGTATCTTCGTCACGATCTGCCTGAAAGCGTTTCTTAGGGACAGTTGAATGCGTCTTCTTTCGTCAGCCGCCGCCGGGGAGTCAAGGAACTTTCTTTCGCGCCGAGAGTGCAATGCCGGGCTGCATGCGCCAATCGATAACACGCTTCGCACGCATGTCCGCCGCGGCAAAACCGAGAAAATCGCCAGGTATATATACGAAACGGTTGCGCAAGTGTTTTCCGGTTCTGGGAGATGCGCGCACGGACCTTGGCACATTCGCGAAGGTGAAAACGTATTGAACGCTCGCCGCCATTCACGTATTTTAATTGTTTCCATCTTACACGTATTCCGGCGATTAATGAGACTTTCAGGCTTTTCACGCGCGTGATAAATTGCGGCTGTTTGAATGTAGGTATAAAGGCATGTATGCGGTTTGAGCAAATGCTGCATTTTTGCCGAACGTGAAATTCGTCAATCTATCGATTTGCGAGAGGTACAGAAGATACAAGGCATATTTAGATTATATATACCCTTTAAAACTTTCATATCAATACTTTAATTCCGGTACGATAATAATAATAGTCCAAGGTGATACGCAAGAAACTATGAAATTGAGCGTGACACAAGTCGAAGGACGCCCATTGAACAGCGCATTAACGTCGCGCCTCAATGTCATATAAAATTGCAGTGATGAAAATGATTATAATTGCACGTGGCTGAACGAACCGTCGAATCAGATCGAATCTTCCGTTTCCTCTTCGTTTCAAAACGACGAAATCGAATATTGGCAAACTGAATTTTTCATGATTTTCATTGATTAATGGATCTAATCGCTTTGCCGCTAACCGATTAAATTATCGTAAAATTAAAGAGATTATAAATTATCTGACGAATGTGATCGAATTGTGCTGAACTTTAACTGCTACAGAAGTCGCAAGCGTAATACTATAATACTATATGCAGCGCAACACGGAACATTGAAATTACATTCAAACGACTGTTTCGAGAGAGTTAAACTCGGAATAGAATTTAGTTCCGTGTTGCACGCATTTCTTACTTACAATTAGGATGAAAACGAGATTGGTACTTACTCCCTCGTGGACCGTAGAACTTAACGGAGAATTCATTTAGTCCTCCTAGAATCGTCACCTCGTGTTTGCTTTCTATTCTGTTTGGGGCAAAAGAGTTAAGGAAAATGGCTCTCTCTCTATCTCGCGCTGCCTCATGCACGGTGCGCCGTTGTGTATAATATCTCCGGGTGACGCGAGCGGCAAATCACGGGTTATCCGTCGACGCGGCGAGAAACGACACGCGGTGATCAGCATAACGATCAGCACTCGGAAAATTGAAATGGAAGTAAAAGAAGATGTGAAACTGCGCCGAGCCGTTCGGCTGAACCGTTGTGGGACGCGCGGCCGGCACAAACATTATTCCCCGCGACAATGCTAAACCGTATCATTTTTCCATCAATTTTTTTATTCTCCGCTTTTCCCCCTTTATTTGCGCGACGAGTGCTCGCACGCGGCTGAAACGCGGATTGCAGAATACTTGTGCGGTATCAATAAACCACGCGGCTTAAATACCGCCGATTAAATTTCGCGCTGCACACGGAAAAAACAATTTTGCTGGATCCAGATCTGAAAATAATTTTTGTTCAATAATTTTGCAAAATAATTTTGTGTAAAAGTCAAAATAATTGCTATAGAATATTAAAACGTTTTATATCAATGCTTATCAGTTTGATAACATTCCAACAAATTATTTTGATGATTCAATAAAAAATTATTTTCAGATCTGTTTTTAGTAAAATTTGTAAACCTTTCAACAAAATCGTTCTTTCCGTGCACGGAAAGAACAATTTTGCTGATCCAGATCAAAAAATAATTTTTGTTCAATAATTAAAATAATTTTGTGTAAAAGTCAAAATGATTGCTATAGAATACCAAAATGTTTTACAGCAATGCTTATCAGTTTTAACATTCCAACAAATTATTTTGATGATTCAATAAAAAATTATTTTCAGATCTGTTTTTAGTAAAATTTGTAGACCTTTCAACAAAATCATTCTTTCCGTGCATGGAAAGTACAATTTTGCTGGACCCAGATCTGAAAATAATTTTTGTTCAATAATCAAAATAATTTTGTGCGAAAGTCAAAATTATTGCTATAGAATATCAAAACGTTTTACAGCAATGCTTATCAGTTTCAACACTCCAACAAATTATTTTGATGATTCAACAAAAAATTATTTTCAGATCTGTATTCAACAAAATTTTTAGACCTTCCAGCAAAATCGTTCTTACCGTGCGGTCTTTTGCGTTCTCATGAACATAGACAGATGAGAAGACAGATATAAATTTGAATAATAAACAGATATAAAACTTTAGTAATATGTTGATAGAATTTAGAAAACACATATATTCTCATCAGCACCTTTTAAAGTCGCATTAGCCTATCTGCAATCACGGAGATATTGTAATCTCATTTATCGCGCGCAACTACGATATACATCAAGACTTGCATCTCGTGTATATGATTATAACGCGCTTAAAAGGGACGAGGAGAAGGGTATTGCAATAGGTTCTCTCACACACCATACACGCAAACGTACACATTAACGGGAACGTTTAAACTAGCGGAGGTCGCTGGCTCGCTTATCGCTTGTGTAAGAGCAAAACTTTCGATGCGTGCATTAGAAAGTGCTTATCTGAACGGCGTTTCGTACAGGAGGCGAATTATCATTTTATTTCTCTTCGAGAGAGACCGAGAACGCGAGCCAAGCTCCGTTGCGTTACCGAAACGGCACACGAGCGGATGGATCTTCCGACAACGCAAACCGAGACGAATCGCGTAAACGGATTTCGCCGCAAATTGCGATGTACAGACCTTAATAACGTAACGCTAAGTACGAGCGGCCGATTTCTCTCTCTGTCTCTGTGTCTCTCTCTCTTTCTCTATTTCTCTTTTTCTCACCGCGAAAGAAATCAAGCGATTATAATCGCCGAAGTGTGTCGTTCGACCTAAAGGCGTCTAAATATTTCTCGAGCCTCGCGTTTACGGTATCGCACGTACATTGTTGCGATTTCCGTGGCACGTTACACACTTACGAGGTGTACACTTTTATCGCCGCGTAAAATCTGTGGCGCGCGGCAGCGCAAGCAATAAAATCCGTCCCGATTAAATTATTCAACGACCTGCTCGCGCGCACGTGAAACGCACGCGCCCGGCAGCGCTTTTCGACACGTTGGAATATACATAAAAATATCATTAAAATATCCTGCAGCCGTTGAATTTGTCAGCCGAGACCGGAATGGCATTCAGTATATGCCATTCAAGTATTCATTGCGTGTGCAAGAGCATTCACATCGTAACAATTTGTTAAATGTATGCAGGCTTTCCAAAATGTGACTTGTATAGCCTTTTTAAGGTTGCATCTCTAACGAAATTATACCAGTGCCGGATTTGAGGAGGGTGAACTGGACGGCCACCAAGGAGCCCCCACAAATTGAAAGCCCTCACGCGGAAAAGAACGATTTTGCTGGAAAGTCTAAAAATTTTGCGGAACACATATCTGAAAATAATTTTGTTGGACCATCAAAATAATTCTGATGGAAGTTCAAATTAGTTGACAGAATATCAAAATGTTTTACAGCAATGCTCATCATTTTGGAGTTTCCAACAAAATTACTTTAATGGTCCAACAAAATTATTTTCAGTTACGTTGATCGCTTGAGGATTCAGGATCTATTTAAATGAGTTTAATTTTGATCTCTCACGCGGAAAGAACAATTTTGCTGGATCTGAAAATAATTTATGTTCAATAATCAAAATAATTTTGTTCGAAAATCAAAATGATTGCTAGAGAATATCAAAACGTTTTATAGCAATGCTTCATCAGTTTTAACATTTCAAAAAATTATATTTCGATGATTCAACAGAAAATTATTTTCAGCAAAATTTTTAGACCTTTCAACAAAATCGTTCTTTACGCGTACAAATTAAGGGCCCCTACCGATTCAGCCGTCCAGAGGCCCGCCACTTTTTTAAATCCGGCACTGAATTATATACGCTGGTCATTACATTTTTTACGTGGCAAGTACCACCGTGTATCCGCGATTGCATCTCGTCGCTCGGGAATGTCGCGTGTAGACTTTTTTTTCTTCCTAAAGTTTCCTAAACGTTGATTTTCTCAATTTGCGCGAAGTGCAACGCGTTATCTAACTTGCGATAAGCACACCTCCGGTGTTGCGGTGAGCGGTTAGAAGCTATACACATTTCAATGTATGTATAACGCCGAGCGCTCCGCTCTCACCTGCGGGGGCAGGTTCGAAGTGCTTTGTTATCCGCAAGACCACGTTCCGTGAATGCACCCGATTCCGCGGCCGTTCGCCGTTCTCAGACCCGATGGTGCGCCCGTGTAAATACACAAAGTCTCTCTTCCCCTCCCAAAACTCCCTTCCCTTCCCCCGCGCGCGTGCGATGCAGAAGCTGCATCGCCGCGCGAACAATGAACGGATGCTCCTCGGCGAGGACATAAACCAGCGAATCGCACGTGGGTTTTTTTTCTCTCTCCCTCTCTCTTTTTCTTTGCCTGTTTTGCACGCGCCTGCCTTAATCGTTCCCTCATTGCGACACGCGATAGCACACACGCCTTCGTCACGCGGCATTGATTAGAATAACTATCTCCCCGCCTCCAGTTTTCATCTGGAGTAGTAGTACTCTCCGAGAAGCTGCCGCGCACACACAAGCCTCGGACTTATAAACACGTCCTCTGTTACAGCATTAAGTAATTACGCGTATAGCGTGACAGAGCGCGCGGCGGCGCTCTAATTATATAACGTACGACTTTTTATCCGCGCGGAAATTTGCAAATATTCTCCGCGCACATTTCTGCGTTTCGAGGAATTAATTTTAATTAATTTTTTTCTTTCGAATATAATAGCAGCACATCGCGAGAGAGTAGGTATCTCCTGAATTTTACGATGTATTCCGCTCGCCGCCGCGTTTCTATACACAAGTCATTTCAGTCGCGTTGAAAAGCCACGTATGTACGTACACGAAACGCGGGATGGAAGCGGCCGTCCGGCGCGGCGGAACCCGAGAGAGCTAACGTCGCGATAAAAATTGCAGTCTCTCCACGTCTCTCAAACGCGAAACCCTGCGTCGACAGGACGGAGTAGCGGAGAAAGGGGCTGCAGAGATATACGCGCGCGCTCGGTGGGTTTATACACAAAGGAAAATTTTTGATGACAAGGCGCGCGAGGAAATCGCGCCGAATCACTCCGCGCGCGCGACTTCTGCACGAGTATACATGTATACCGCGAGAGATCCTAGCCAATTTCTCGCGTCGCCGCGCCGCGCCGTACAGAATCGCGCGCGGCATATAAACACGATTGTGAGCCGCTCCGCGCGCATCACGCGACCCACGTGAGTCGTATATATTATTATCGCGACGCGCGGGCTCGTTCGCGTTGAAAGTCGTACTCATTCCGGCGCGGCGTACGGAAATCCGCGGTCGCGACCGGCCTTCCCCCCCCCCTCTCCGCACTCAGGGGGTTGCCGCCCATTATCGCGGAATAATGGAGATATCATCTCGCGCGCGTGTGCGTCCCATCAGATGATCATCTCCATTCATGTGCTCCAATACACACGGCTGAATTAGCGCCGCGCGCGCTCGGTATACGCGGAGGCATATATCCTGTTACCGAGGAACGGGGCCGACATGTGCGCCTGACGGACGCGTCCAGCGGGCGTTATTAGAGAACAGATCGCCCCCGTGTTTCGACGCCCGTCGACACGGCGCGGCCGCGTCGGGGCAACTCCGGAAATGGAAGCCGGTAGTGAAGTAAAAAACAAAAAAAAATTAATGAAGCAAAAAAAGCACAGCGAAAAACAAGTTGCTAATCGCGAGTGAAAAATATTGAATTTTGAGTTTAACGGAGATAACATTTGTGTTACAAAAAAAAGCAAACAAACACGATGTTTCGTGGGTCACGAACGAGGATTACGTTCGCGGTTTTAGGAGTGGATCGTCGAACGGAGTCGAGTTTCCGAGGCGAGACGCCGCGAAATTCCGCCGTAGGGGGGTAGGATAAATTTCACGCGTCGACAAATGAGCAAAACGCGCGCGCGGCAACGCGTCGTATAAAAAAAAAACGAGCGCGAACG